GGCTTTGCAACGGCGATGGAGGTGCCCGTGGAGGATGTGATGCTGGAGATTCAGGCAGCTCGGCGGTTGAGTTCTCACACGAGGAAGCTTCAGACCGAGCTGCTGGCCGTCTTCACTGTGATCATGCCCAGCCTTGAGGACGCCATCATAAAGCAGGTGGAGATCGAGACCGTTTCCTTGGACGCCACCAACGAGGCCATCGCGAGTGCCGTCGCGAGCACGGGCTTCTCGGGTGCCTTGGAGGTTACCGGCAAGACGACCGTGCGAGTTGCGGATCCGACCACGACCACCACGACCACCAGGACGACCACAACGACAGAGGCCGGCAACACCACCACTACCGAGGGCGGTGATGACGGCGATCCGGGTGACGACGGGGACGATGGTGACGATGGCGACGAGCAGCCGCCCAGCTCGGCAATCGCGGGCAGCGCCTCCGCGGCCGTTCTGGGACTGGCTGTCGCTCTCTTGGCCTGAGGTTAATGTGGTGCGGAATGCGAACGCATTTTACCGTTTCACCATCGTGACTTCTTGGTATAGCTTGATCCATGCTGATCCTGAGCATGGCCAGCAAGACTGACATGGAACCGACATTAGTTATTTTGCTATCCAGCCACTAGACTCAGTCACAAGAGCATCGGTACATGCTGGCAACGCGCAGAAGGGTGCCGAGCATCCCTTTAGGATCAGGCTCCAACGTGATGGTACTGCAGACGTTACAGATGCAAAAGCAGACTCGGGAGAAGCCCCACGGAGAATAATGTGGCTTGCAAAGGGATGCCAGCTTGAGACAGCTGCTCCGTAATCTTGTGATGCCAGTCTTGTGTTCATTCTGTCGGCCAGCGATTTTGTCAAGTCCACATGTGGTGTTGGGTAAAGGAAGTGGGGTTGGGGGTGCTCGTGGGTGGAAGATCCGCATGTGAAGCAGAGGTCCGAAGCTTCACTGGCCGTTAACAGTCCTGGCTCGAGGTGGGTCCTGGTCCTGCATGTTTTCGGCCTCGTCCGGCAGCGTTCCTCTGTGCCTGCACGGTGACTTCGGATCCGAGTCTCAAAAATTTGCGAGGTTTCTTCAAGAACACCTCCTGTTGTTTGAAGGGTGAGGTGCGACAGTGAGGGGTACGAAGCACGGTAGCCTCGACAGACGAGCTCAGAAGCGTCAAATCGGGATCAGAACACCAGGAGGGACACGAAGCAAGGAGGCCAGGATCGGAAAACGAGCATGAGATCCTACCACCAAGCCCGCTGCCGCCAAGAACGATCCCTCTAAACGTGAGAGTTCATCGAAGCGAAGAACAAAGTTGCTGTGGTGAAGCCCAGTGGTTGCTTCAGACCGCTTGCGCTGACTTGGACGAGGTACTTTCCCTTTGCTACTGATCGTGCACCAGTTTCAGCTTCTTGAACAAAAGACGCGGCAAAGAAATAGAGGTTTTTTTTTGGGTTTTCCCAAAAGCCCCTGGGGGGTTGGGTTCTTGTTTAGTTTTTCCTTCCCGCGGGGGAGCGTTCACCAAAAAACGTTGCCGAAGAGGACGCGTGGGGAGCTCTGGGTGCCGAGCGTTCGCGGGAGGCCGTGGCCGTGGACGGGGTTCGGAGCGTTCGCGAATGTTCGCGAGTGGCCGCGGCCGTCGACGGACAGGTGGGGAGCTCTGGGTGCCTGGCGTTCGCGGGAAAATGCGGCCATGGACGTGGACGGGTGGGAGCTCTGAGTGCCGAGCGTTCGCGGGAGGACCTGGCCGTGGACGGCAACCGGCGAAGAAGAGTCAGAAAGCCCTGCTCTGGATCAAAGCTCTCCCTTATGCCGATGCCTAAAGAACGGTTTGGTTTGTGGGTTCCCGGCTTGACCTTGTTTTTTTTTGGCCCGCGGGGCAGGTTGGGTGGGGTATAGGGGGGGTGCGGGGGGTACTGGCTGTTGTTCAGACGACCAATCCTCCGGCGGTGGTGAAGAGGAGGGGCTGTTCGCGGACTGCCATGGAATTAGCCAGGGTCAGGGGAGACCAGTCATCCCTCGCCCGGCGGTCAATGACCGGCGACCCCCGGTTCCACAGGTCAACAGGGTCAGTCAACTCGTGTCGGTGCCGTGACACAGAGTGTCATTGGAGCGTTCAGTTTTTCGTTCTACCAACCAGCGGCTGGCTTCTCAGACCATGCACAGGAAGAATCACAAGTGTTGTTGTGCCGTGCTGTGCTCAATGCTCGTTCTGAGTGCTTGCGTTGAAAATGCATTCCCTGAGTAGTGGACTTGCTCATCGTCTGTGATTGTTTATGTGGTTTGGGTTTCACTTTGCGTGGCTGGGACCATGTCAACGTGAAAATCCCTGCTGCCCCAATTTTTTTAACCCCCTAATATTGAAGCACTTTGGGGCCAATCCTCCCGAAATCATCCTTGCCTTTAAAACCTAATTTTGCATTAGCAAGAGCCGGAGTAAGAGCAAGAGCAAAAGCAAGATCAAGAGCAAGAGCAAAAGCACGCGGAGGAGCGAGAGCAAGAGATGCAGCAGGAGCAGGAGCAAGAGCCAGAGCAGCACCAAGAGCAAGATCGCTCAAATGTGACAGTAGAGAGATGAAAATATACCCTGATATTAAAAACGCTTTCCGAGTTTTTATTAAGGGGGCGAAAGGGACAAAGCCCTCCCCCCCTTTTCCCAATCCATGGGCAGCAGAGCTACGCGTCTTGCGACGTTCCGAAGGCTAAGGCCTCAGGTCAGGCCGCGGGGGGGGTGGGGGGGGGGGGTTGGGGGAGGGGGGCCCAAAAATGCCCTTCTCGTAATGCCTTTAGCATTTGGCTGATCATGGTTTTGTGTTTTTTTCCCTAAGGTTTCTGCACACAGAGTTCTGTTTCGACCAGGCAGAAGCTCAGCGACCTCACGCGATTCCTTTCGGGAGCCTGTGCCTGATACACAAGAGCGGGCATCGCGATGGAGTTCTCCAGGCCAATGATGCCGGACGCGAAGTTCGCGACTTCATCCAATACATCGCCCGTGGTGGCGCATTTTTGTGGAATCGCTTCTTAATCGGGCAGGGACAAAGCATTCAGTGCGATCTTGCCGTCCAAGCCAAGGGCTCGGCTAAAATCTCTTTGGCCGAGACATCTTCTTCGCTGTAAACCGGGATGACTTGACACGTTCTTGCTATCATGCCGTGAGCGTAAAGCATGGGAAGCTAAGTGCTCAAGTGTTTTGCAGCACCCTTACCACATGCGGTGGGGGTAAGACAAGTGCTCTGGTTCCAGGCAAGAATCTTGTGTGCTGAACCGTCACAATGCGTTTCTGCTACCGACCGAAAGCCGAAGCCAGGCAACAACAGTTGCAACTCGAAGCCTAAGTTCTGAGTTGGCCTTGGCTTCACAGCTCATGTCGTTGCCTTTGCATCGACGGGTTCGTAGAGAAAGGTCCACGCTTCTGCAATGCAGTATCCTACGAAGACGCTATGCAGACGCTGGGTGCGTCAAAGACACAGGTCTGTAAGTCAGGGCGGAAACAGCATTGCGTGCAGTATCATCCGCTCTGAAACTTGACTAACACTGCCTCAGTGAACGAGCAACACAGAGGGAATGCACCGAGTCATGTACTTCAATAGCCTGTGGCGCTCGCCTAGTCAAGTGCAGAGCGAGTTAGTCGCGCTCCAACCGACTCGGTGCAAGCTTGGCGCTGCCCATGGACAAGCGCCTACAATGGAGTCTGGCGAGCCGACTGCCAGGTCTCCGGGGTTCGGAGCATTTCCTGCTTTTTGCAAGCATCCGCTGCCTCTTCCCGGGCATGGATATAAACAAATAGATGAAGAAGAAGAAGCAGATAGATGGCTGAATACATGGAATGAATGCATGAATGAAAGAGAGAATGAATTAATGAAAGAAGCAAGGAAGGAAATGAAATGAAATGGAATCGAATGGAATTCATGCAAGGGAGGAAGGAATGACATGAAATGAAATAAAATGGAAATGAGGTGAGGAAAGACAGAATGAATGCATTCATGGATGCATGCATGCATGCATGGATGACTCAAGGAATGAGTGCATGACTGAATTGATGGAACGAGATGAAACAAGTGGATGCATGGAATGGAAAGAATGAATAAGATGATGGAGTGAAAGGAATGAATGAACGAATGGATTCATGAATGAATCAGCGAATGAACCAATGAATGAATGCATGAATGAACGAATGAATGAATTAATGGATGAGTGAAAGTAATGAATGAATGAATGAATGATTGAATGAATATAGTGAAAGGAACGAATGAGTGAATTAATGAAGGAAGGAAGGAAAGAATGAATGAAATAAGCAATAAACGTAATGAAATAACATGAAATTGAATGGGATGAAAGGAGGAATGACATTAAATGTAATGATGAATGGAATAAAACGACATGAGATGAAGAAAGCAGAAATGAATGCATGCATGGATGAATGCAATAACGAATGGATGAATGGATGGATGGATGGATGAACGGATGAATGGATGGAAGGAATGAATGAACGACCGAACGAACGAACGAACGAATGATCGGAATGGAATGGAATGAATGGAATGAATGGAAGTAATGAAATGAATGAAATGAATGGAATGAATGAAATGAATGAAATGAATGACATGAATGACATGAATGAAATGAATGAAATGAAGTGAAGACAGAACGAATGAACGAAGGAATGCATGAAAGAATACATGTATGCATGAATGACTGTATGAATGGATGGAATGGAATGAGCGGAATGAGTGGAATGACTGGAATGAATGGAACGCATGGAATTAGTGAAGGAATGAAGGAAGGAAAGTTCCCTGACTCCATGCTGCCGACGGAAACGTACTACGGCTGCGGTGAACGTGCGCAACTGGCACGCCTCTCGCTGCCTCGTCTCAAGGTTTTGGTAGGACTGCCGCTTCGCCATGGCCGAAGCTGGGGATTTGGTCTATTGCCTGCCGCTAGCCGAGTCGGGAAATAAGTCCGTGTGTGGATGGGCTGTAGAAGTAGATGGTGAAGACGTCACTGTGGCTACGGCTTCCGACGACCTGGAGAACGTGCCGCACGCATAACACCACTGGAAAGAATCAGGTGAGATTTGTAGGAGTCTCCTTGTCTGCACGCGTCCGTGGGCAGGCATGTGGAAGCATCCAGCGCTTGTGGGGTATAATTCAAAGTCGGAGTTCCTTAGCTATTTGGCCTGGTTTGAATGTGTCCAAGGTACTCGGTTGGAGCTGTCCGGCGAAGTTTCAGCATTATTGCCCTGTCCCGAAGTTCTCTTGCCCGCTGGGGCGGAGGTGGGCTCGGATGAGGTGGTCACTTGGTGGACAAGGCCTTCCTCAATGCGTTTGTCTTCTGGCAAACTTCGTGTCTCTTGGGTGCACAGGCTCTGATGGCAGTGCTGTTGAGCCGCGACTGGGACATCGTTGTGTGGAGGCCATGCGTGCCTTTACTCATGAGCTGCTCGGCGAGATGCGTGAATTCATATGCCTGGAGCTTGTGTTGGGTGAGCTTGGTTGCGAATAGGCAAGCCAGCGTCTGTGCAACAGTTGCTGACACAAGTTTCTTGTGCAGCGGGCGCACGCTACATGTTCGAGCCCACGGCTGGTGGGTTGCCGTCGACGGCTTTGCCAGTGGTGGCAATCCCCGCGAAGGCGGGGCAGGTGGGTCCGGGTGATTTGTTGGATGCCGAGCGTGGTGAGTAACCAAGAGAAGTGTGGAAAGCTGCTGGGTGAAGGGTTGTTTCGTGTAGCAAAGAACCAACAAACAGGAGGATCGCCTTATTTACGATCGGAGGCTGGGCGACTTTGCCATCACGTGCCTGTTGTTTCCCAGATTGTTCTTGCGCGGATCAGGTGACGACCAAAGGTTGAATTCGGAATAATTCGGTTGGTCGCCGAGTGCATCCTGATGTTGTCCGAAGTGGGGATCCTTCAGTTCCTTATCGGTTGTGCTTCAGGGTTCTGGGGATGGGCGACAAGACTGGTTGTGGCATCGCGGGTCCTTCATCATTCGACCCAGTTGGTGTACGGTCAACATGTGTCGGAGGTGACCTGTGGGAGGGACTTTATTTGGCTGACCTGTTGGCCACCCAGGAATGCACCATGCCCTCTGAGATCCCCCTGGACGGCACGTTCGTACAGCCTGCCACCTAGGTAAGCGACAAGGACATGCAGCAGATGCATCTGGCTTATTTGGAGGCTGGGGTGTGGAGGGAGCAGTTCACAAAGCGTTCCGGGCCCAAGCGTTTTTCAAGGCCTGGGCGCGGAGGTGGACGGGATTTGAGGCACAGTGGGAGTCGCAAGGGAAGTTCGGCAACAGCTGTGGGTGCTGCTGCGAAGTTGGTGTCTGGAGGCTTTGTATCGAAGGACGTGGCAAAATCGAGGGGTACTGGCTTATGCATTCCAGTGTCGCCGTGATATTTATTCGCTCATGCATCATCTGTATAAGTACATGACCGCACGCCTGCACAACGCTGGGTGCCGATCCCTACAGCATGTGCAGGATGAGTTGCGAAGTTGTGCCCTTCATCTGCTTTTCGCACGGTGCTCAATGAGGCGACGACTGAAGCGACAGGTTTTGGCGGCAGATGCAGTGCCCACCACCATCACCACCGCCGCCACCGCCAGCACCACCAGCACCACCAGCACCACCACCGCCGCCGCCACCACCACCACCGCCGCCGCCGCCACCACCGCCACCACCACCGCCGCCGCCACCACCGCCACCACCACCGCCACCGCCACCACCACCACCACCACCACCACCCCACCCCCCACCCCCCCACCCCCCCACC